CTTCAAGCTCAGCTGACCATTTATTCTCTGTTCCTCAAATAGGAGTTCCTTAGATTCAATCTTCAAAACTTTTTTCAACGGCCTACCTTCACAAATTCTCCCATCTCAGCTCCTCCCCCTCTCCCCCTCTCACCCTCTCAGCAACCTTCTCTTTGCTTCACCCTCTCACCCTCTCACCAACTCAGACAAAGGCACCAGATGAAAACACAGTTCCTTTCCCTCTCACCCTCTCTCCCTCTCACCCTCTCAGCAATCTTCTCTTTGCTTCACCCTCTCCCCCTCTCAGCAACCTTCGTTAACTTCTAAATCCAAAACTCTAGAAAAATATCCATTTTTTTACTCCCCAATTCTACAAAGATATATATTTTCTCTATTTCCCATAGGGCTCCTCCAACCCACTGTACTAGTGGTGTTACTGTTTTCGTTTGCATATTGAAGCTTGAAAGTGATAGTTTGTTCATAACAATTTCTTTTCTTCTTTGTATTTTTCCTACTGCTCTTGAAATGTATTTCATCCTTTTACCAATTACTTTTGAGACACATTTACTCATTTATATATATCTTATTCTTTTCCTTTACAGAAAGAACCCTGATGAGTCTCTTCCACTGGAGAGGACTTTTAGAGTGCTTAATGTTGATAAAGTGACTCAAAAGGGCAAGAAGGCGCCCCCAAAATATCGTAATATCACACTATGTAAACTTGGGAATGAAATGCAAACTGAGATGTACACGGCTACAGGTTGGCCTTCAGTTAGCATGGGTGCTCTGAAAAACCTTTCTGGAAAAGTCTCAGCAGAATATGACTTCACTGATTATAGCTCTCAATCATCTGAAAGTAATGATATTCTACCCGAACAAACAGTCAACGAAGTTGAGAAAAGAAAAGGTACCTCTGTGAGTGAAGAGGAAACAGATATATCTGCTTATGGAACAGCTTACACTGCATTTGGAGGGGGGAAGGAGGGGAGGGAGGCTTGTCATGCCATTGCTGCTTTATGTGAAGTCTGCTCTATAGACTCTTTGGTTTCCAACTTCATCCTTCCATTGCAGGTTGTTTCTTCTACCATATTATACTTTCCAGTTACGTAGTTTATTATTCAGATCCCTGTATGGTTCCTTCACTTGACTGAGAGGAAACTTGAATTCTTATTGGTTGACATTCTTGTTAATTCACTTTTGCTTTGACCAAGGGGATAGGACTAATTCAGGCTCAAGCATGGCATCATATTTCAGTGGGAACATGCATTCATAGAATCACTTTATATGTATAGGAACATATGCCTGTTGATGAAAATAAAAATTCATGGCAGTACAAATCTGGAAAGGCCTGTCTTTTGACCACTGAATAAAAAGGGATCAGCGATGGTGTAGTGTGACGTGCTGGAACAAAAACAAGAGTACAAAGCATGCTACTTTACCCCCTCTATCCTAATATGTACCCCCTGGGGAACCTATCTCTAGTCTGATGCAGGATGGGCATGTAAAATAAGATAAAGAGAGAATAAGTAACCTTAGAATCAGCACCTAGAAGATTCAACAATTTCAACCCATGATCGATCTGGCTGACCTGTCACTGGGCCAGGTTTCCGGGTCTGTTTAGCCCCAAAGCATTTTATTTTCGAAAAAGGCCCAAACCATTTATTGGAAAAAAAATGTTGACTCAGTCAAGGACCTGGTGAACTGGCTGGTTGAACTGTCGAACTGTTTGACTCAGTCAGCAGGTCATAGACACAGGTTAGACGTTAATTCTCTCTTTTCTGTTTTTTTTTTGTATTTTTATCCATTTCCATTATTAGTAATAGTAATTCTTATTTATCACACTTTAATATGATGAATATATATATATATATATATATATATATATATTAGAGACATGCCCAATTTTTCTGCATATTTATCTATTTTCTATATTTTTTATTATTTGATTTTTGATGCTAGGGGTAATCCATTTAACCTGGATGATTTAACTTCTGACCCACTGCGTGGAGGGAAAAGCAGTTCTGTTTTTAGGTCACATTTAAAACACTGAGAGGGATCGAAACCATAAAGAAAATTCGGCATTAGCACCAAAGAAAATTAAGCTAAAGGCAAAATTATATTTCAAATGTTATCCTCTTTTGGAGCAACAATATGAACCTTATGTACACTTATTTCCATAATCGAAAGATGTCTAATAACTCCAATTCATACCTCGGTCTAGTTGGACTGACTTCAAGCTGACTATGACTCCTATAAACCTTTTAAAAATTGACTTTTGTCCAAGCACAACTTTTTTTGGTGAATGATTAGGCAATTTTATTAAAGAGAGTCAACCTTGGAGGAGGCACGAGATACTACCTCCCCAAAGGTATGAGTACAAACCCAAGCACTGTGAAATTATAAATTAGCCCAATACAAAGATACCCGAGAAACCCCTAGCTTAGCCAAAGAGTTGACAAAGCATAGCTACCTTCTGACCCATTGGAAATTGACTGTCATGCTTGTAATCCTTTTTACTTTCCTCAGAAGATTCCTGTAGCCCCAAGTGACAGTGTCTGAATTCTGCAACCAACTAACTATGACCTTGGAATCACCTTCAACTACCAGATTTTCCACTCCAAGTCGTCCAAGCACAACTTTGACATGAATTTCTAGCAAGGAAATATTACCTACAAAAATAAATCTTAATACTACTAGAACTCTAACTTAAAACTCAAAATAACAAAAAAAAAAAAAAAATCCTACCACAGTTTCATTGGATGTCTGTAAACCAGCCATAAGCCCATAACTTCCTTATTTCATGTCTATGTCACATGATGTCTTTCTGGAAGCATTGATTGAAAACAAAATTTAATACAGGCAGAATGGGGGTGAGCCTTGATCAACGACAAGGTGCAGAGCCAATTATATTTCGGTATTTTGAGACAGCTTTCTCCATCTCTCTTAGACACAACAGATCTTAACCCTTGTAATTTCCCTTTTTCTCTTGTTTCTTATGCTTGTTTAAGCAGGAAGTTTCTGACTTCCAATCTATGAGGTGGTTGGTCATGATTCTTTCCTGTGGTTGCAGGGTAGTCACATATTAGGCAAAAATGGGCGTGTCCATTGTTCCTTAAATATCAATACTGAGACTGGACGTTTGTCAGCAAGGAGACCAAATTTGCAGGTTGATTGTTTCTCTTGCTTATCACTTCTTGCCATATAAGATGTTGGTAAATTCTAAACATTTTTTTTTGATCAATAGCTGTGAATTATATTAATTAAGATTAAGAAAAATTACAAAGCAAGGGGGCTAAACAATCTTAGCTCCCGAGAACAACCATTGAACACCAAAATACAATTACAATACGGCCCAAAATATAGAGTTTCTGTTCACCCCTTGCCTAGCTAGACCATCTGCCAGTGAGTTTGCACTTCTCTTTACCCATTTGTACTGAATTTCAACATCCTTAGTCAGCCACTTAAATTTTCTCTTTTCATTGCTGTAATTCCATATCCTAGAGTTATCCTCTTTTAACCAGTTCACCACAACTTCAGAGTCTCCTTCTATGATCAGCTTACTAAATTGCATATCCTTGACTCTTTGTACCCCTTCAAGAGCTGCAAGTATCTCAGCCCTAAAGGAATCTCCTTCCCCTATTAGTCTAGAAAACATAGCTAACAGATTCCCATGTTCACCTTTTATTGCTCCCCCTGTTCCGGATGGCCCTGGATTACTCATACTGCTGCCATCAAAATTCAGTTTAATAAAGCCATGAGGTGGAGGAATCCAACAAGAGTTTGATGCCTTCTTAGCTGAAGCTAATTTTGCAATCTCCTTCCAGTTTCTTAGCATCTCATCTACTGAGAATTCTGCAAACAATGCCAAAGTTTTCAGCCAATGTATCACCCTAATATGGATGACCTCCAATATTACTTCCAAGCTTCTCTCCTTTTCTGAGAAGATCCGTGAGTTTCTCTCCTCCCAAACAGTCCAACAAACTGCAGCCCTCATACATCTCGACATAATATTGGCCCTTTTTGTTGGCCAACTCGGCATGGAACTGAATAAACTTTGCACATTCAAAGGGGGGGTCCACCTGCACCCAAAAAAAGTACACCATTCCCAAATGACTTTAGTAAACTGATAGGAAATTAGTAAATGGTATCCAGATTCACCATCAACTTTATAGAGAGCACACCAGTGAGGACACAAACAACTATTGGGTCTTTTTCTTTGAAGTAAATCTCCTGTATTAACTCTTTCCAGAAAGGTTTCCCAACAGAAACTCCCAACCTTTGGAGGTATAGGAAGACACCACACCTCTATAACAGGGAAGGACAAACCCAAAGAAGAAGGTTGTGCTAGGGCTTTAAAGAAAGAAGAACATGTGAAAGAACCCGAGGGGGTAAGTGTCCAAATTCTACTATCTGCCTTTGTTGGCTCTAGGAAGGCCCCTTCAAGGATGGATAACAAGGATAAAATACAATCAAAGTCTGTGTCCCTGATTTCCCTTCTAAAGCCCAAGCTCCAGTTGAACCCAAAAGCTGAGTTAGAAGGAACAAGGAAGGAGGAAACTGGTTCATTTTTAAATGTGGAAAGAGTGAAAAGACTCGGTAATTGGTCTTTTAAGGGAGAATCCCCAATCCAAATATGTTCCAAAAAATTGATGAGATTGCCTAAGTGCAAGTCATACCTGATCCATGGAGAGAACAATGGCAAAATATCTTGAATAGCTTTCCAAGGTGCTGCTCTTGTAGTCTTTGCTAGAATCCTAGAATCCCATCCATTGTCTGCTACCCCATGAAGACTACCCACTATCTTCACCCAAAGTTTATCCTTCTCCAATGAAAATCTCCACAACCATTTCCCTAGTAGTGCCAAGTTCCTATTCCTTATGTTCCTAATACCCAAGTCTCCCTCCCTCTTGCTCCTACAAACCATCTCCCACCTAATCTTGTGGTCCTTCTTCTCCTCCCCCGGCTCCCAGAGAAAGTCTCTCATTTGTTTTTCTAATCTACTAGCCACCATAATTGGAATCTTAAAGACTGATAAAAAGTAGACAGGAAAGTTAGCTAATGTAGACCTGATTAAAGTGATTCTCCCACCAAAAGACAAATAATTCTTCTTCTAAGTTGCTAGTCTCTTTTCAAACCTCTCCACAACCGGAACCCAAAACTCATCTTTCTGAGGGCTATCTCCCAATGGCAAACCAAGGTAGTTTAAGGGCTGTTAGCGTAGGGGTATTTCTGTCTTTATACCTAGATTAATGTTGCTGATCTGTAATGTTGTGTTGGAACCAATGCTCCTAACTTAAGTAAGGGCACATAGGTCTTTTCAATTATTTTTAATAATATAAATATTGCCTGGCCGATTGGGAGATGTCATGAGTCTTCCAGTTCGAACCAGAATTTCTCTCTTCTCTCTTTCTCTCTTTCTTCCACCTTTCTCCTTCTACATAACTGATCTTAGACAGATAGTTTTCTAAGGCAGAACCGAATTATAACATGGTATCAGAGCTACATTGAATTTGCCTAGATTTCTGCTTGCCTAGGTTTCTATTCTCTGCGCACCCTATCTAGGGTTTTTCCTCTTTTTTCTGCATTCGATTGGAGATAAGGGAAAGGGCTGAAAAGGAGTGATCGCCCTCTTCCCTTGGAGGTTTCTATGCCTCCAGTCGGGTTGTATGTGGTCGGTTGCTATGATTTCTGAGATCGCCCTCTCCTAGTAGAGGAAGAATAGAGGGCCGAATTGTGTGTGCAGTGGCTGTCGTGTGTGGACTGATTTCCTGCTCGTATGGTTGTTACTTCAGTAATAAGGTAAGAGATCTCAGTGAATGATATTTGTTATGGATTAAATAGGAAGTGTGTTTCAGACCATATGCTAGGGTTTCAGACAGTAATGTGCTAGGGTTTATGCTGGTTTCTTTGTGCATTTYGAAGGAAGAGATATGATCATATAGTGGTGAGATTTCAGGTAGTTGTAGGAGTAGGGTTTGTGGTGT